ATTTAATCATTTCGCCAAGGAAATACATTAGTGCCAAAATTAGTCTTCCTAATTTTTCAGACACAATTTGTTTTCAGACAAAACAAATTTAAAATTGTTTGTAATTATAAATTTAAACTTAACCTGATATAGCTACCAATATTTGTTATTTGCTATTTAGTTTATACGAATATTCGTTTAATTTCTTATTTCTTATAACAACAATAAAATCAATAATTGCTTATTTTAAATTACCATGTTTATCTATATATTTATTTTTCATATCAAAAACAAGGTGTAAAAAGGTTTAATATAAATGGAAACAAATAAAATATGACTAAATGTTTTGTAAAATGAAAATTGCATAATAACCTAAAAAATGTGGGACACACTTGTATTCACGATACACACACATGTGTGTGTATCGTGCTTGTATTAATATTTGGACAACAGTCCTATTTTGGTAGTAGAACACGAACCACTGTAATGTAAAGATATTACGTTTACTAAACTTCGAAAACGATCCCTTCAGAACGTGCTTGGAAATGATGGTCAGAACTCCATGGGGAGTCGTTCGTCTTACTTTGTTGTACGCTAGAGCATACAAGCAGACGGAAACTTTGCTTATAAAGTTGTGGATTTAATTTCGCTGAATTGTTATCTGTTGGGTAAACTTTTTAATAACTAAATATTAGTGGTGGCTCCGCGGAATAGAATATTCGATTCGGATAGACTCTGATGTGTAGAACTGCCACAAAATTGTTTATAATTATGTTTATTTGTTTTTATTATGTTTTAACAATATTTTTTTTGTTTGCCTCTGATATTTTATTGTGTATTACAGCAATTTTGTATTTTCAGGTATTTTTAATTTTAAAATAATTAAACCTACTTAAGTATACCTACATTGGGGTGGCCCAAAAAACGTGCTTTTCTTTGGACAAAAGATTGTTTTATCGTATGATTATGTGTGAAAAACAGACAAATAATACGACTTTTAAAGAACTTTTTTCAGTTTGCGGTAAGTATTAAAAATACAAACAAAACATAGATCAATTTATATTTTACTTGAGTAAAATGTATAAGGGTATATTCGTATTATTCAAAATATATAAAATATAAAGTATATACGAGCCCTAACCACATAATGTTCGGACACTTCATAATTTATACAGAAATTTTTTTCGTGAATACTATCTCAAAATTATTAGAAGTTATGAAAAATTCAGCTTATTTTGGCATATACCCCTCGAAGCGATTTTTATTTTTAAAAAGTTTACTTTTTATTTTTAGCTTTTAAAAAAAGGCTAACTTTTTAACTTTTTTTTGCATGAGTAAAAAAAGTTATAAATGGGCCCATTAAAAAGAACATAAAATATTATACAAACCCTGAAAATTTGGTAAAAATTGTATAAATAATAAAAAAGTTATAGCGATATATACATATATCTGCAAAATCTCCCGTTTCCTAAGAAAATTGCAAAAACTCTTTAAAAATAGCATTTTTAAATTACTTATACTTTTTTATAACTTATTTATTTTTTACCAAATTTTCAGGGTTTGTATAATATTTTATGCTCTTTTTAATGGGTCCATTTATAACTTTTTTTACTCATACAAAAAAAAGTTAAAAAGTTAGCCTTTTTTTAAAAGCTAAAAATAAAAGGTAAACTTTTTAAAAATAAAAATCGCTTCGAGGGGTATATGCCAAAATAAGCTGAATTTTTCATAACTTCTAATAATTTTGAGATAGTATTCACGAAAAAAATTTCTGTATAAATTATGAAGTGTCCGAACATTATGTGGTTAGGGCTCGTAATATAAAGTATATATATATAAAAACACTTTCATTCACAATTCTATTCTACTATCTAAGTTTTGCATACGAATTTATAATTTCTCAGACTTGGGTAAAATGTATATAAGGTTATGTTCGTATTATTCAAAATATACAGGGTGATTCAGACTTGTGGTGACAAAAGCTCAGAGGAAATTCCTCTCATCAAAATATGAAATAAAGTTCCTATAAACACGTGTCCGAAAATGCTTCACTATCGAGATACAGGGTGTTTCGTTTTTTATTTATAGCTTAAAAAGGCGTTGGCCGATGTTATTAAAATTTATATGGTTTATTAAATAATAAATGATTCAAAGATAATAAAAAATCACATAATAATAATAATAATAATAATAATAATATTTTATTTATACTTTGCCTAGATATAATAGGGTGTACACGTCATTAAAGTAATTTGCATGGTTCACAAATACAGATAAATACACATATATACATACATATATTTGTACTAAAACTATGGTTTTATTTATAATTTAAAAATAAATGTATAAAAACAAAAAGAACAGAACACAAGCATACATTTTTAAAGCTATGGTATCTAACATTTCTGAAAATATTCCTGGGTGCTGTAGAAACAGTGATTTGCCAGGAAGTTTTTACACTCGTTTTTAAACTTATTTAAATTATTTATTTCTTTTATATTTTCTGGTAAATTATTGTATATTTTGGCTGATGCGTATGAGACCGACCTCTCGAATTTTGTTGTTTTGTGTGCAGTGGACATTATTTTATTTGCATTTCTTGTTGAATACGAGTGAAATTTGTTGTTTTTGTCAAAGTTTAAATTATTATTTTTAGCAAATAGTAAACTATTTAGTATATAAATACTTGGTACTGTTAGTATTTTGTGAGTTTTAAATGTGATTTTGCATGATTCGGTGTTTTTTAGGTTAAAGATCAGTCTGATAATTTTCTTTTGAGAAGTAAATACATGTTTTGCATATCCAGAGCCCCCCCATAGGCAGATACAATAATTTAAATGACTATAAGCTAATGCATAATAAACATTTAAAAGGTATTCTTGAGACAGTGAATTTTTCATATTTAACAATGCAAAAAAGGCTCTATTCAGTTTTTTGTTAATGTGATTAATGTGTTCATGCCAGTTTAGGTTTGCGTCTAAGATTATACCAAGGAATTTGGTTTGAATTGAGGATTTTATAACCAAGGTATCAAGAATAATATTATTCATGTATTGATTTTTTCTGTTGCAGAAATTAATTAAAACAGTTTTACTTGCATTAAGTATTAGATTATTTTGATAGCACCACTTTTGAAACATATTTATTACTAGTTTTATATTTGTATTTAGTTCCTCAGGGGTCCGCGCTGTGACTGCAATTGTTGTGTCGTCAGCGTAGTTAACTAAGCAGTGGTTGAATTTAACGCTCTTTTGAAAAAACTCATGAAGATCATTGATGTAAAGATTAAACAGTAAAGGTCCCAGCACGGATCCCTGAGGAACCCCTCTGTTTAACTCAAAGAAGTTTGAATGGTTGTTTTCAAGCCGAACACAGATTTTTCTATTTGATATATACGATTTAAGCCATTTAAGCATATTACCTCTGAATCCAAGGGCATACATTTTATTTTCAAAAAATTTTAGATCTATGGAGTCAAACGCCTTAGAAAGATCAAAAAAGGCCACAGCGACCAGCGTATTAGAGTCTATAGAGCTGTATAGAAATTCTGTCAACTGGTAGGCTGCTGTCTGAGTCGATCGACCAGCTCGAAATCCGTGTTGGTTTTCCTGCATTAATTTATATTTTTCGGCATATTTTATTATTTGATCATATAACGTTTTTTCAATAACTTTAGAAATTACACTAACTAAAGAGATCGGTCTATAATTATCAATTGAGAGCGGGTCACCCTTGTTTTTAAAGATAGGTACAACAGCAGAGAACTTCAACTGATGCGGAAATTCTCCGTCAAGTACAGATTTATTGATTATGTAAGTTAGGGGTTTGTATATATAGTTTGCCATCATTTTAAGCACTGATGCTGGTATTCCATCAATTCCAAAGCTTTTACTATTGTTTAATTTGTTTATTATATCATAGACGTCCAAATCCAATACTGTTCTAAAGAAAAAGGAGTTGGCGATATTTCCTGTCGTACATTGCTTAGATGGATTTAAATAATGTTTTTGTAAACATTTATCGGTAATTGTTGAAAAGTATTCGGCGAAATAATTGCTTAGAATTTTAGAATCTGATTTGACCTGGTCGTTTATTTTCAGGAAGATTTTATTTGTTTTTTTGTTGTTACCTATTTGCTTATTAACAATGTTCCATATTTGTTTTGGTTTATTTGTCGAGTTTTCAATCATATTTTTAAAGTAACCTTTTTTTGTATTTTTTATTAATATACTGTGTTCCTTTTTTTTGACCTTGTAGTAATCCCATAATCTTTGAGATTTTGTTTCTTTCGCTAGTGAATGTAGATTTCTTAATTCTTCGCTGCTTTTTTTAATGCCTACATTAACCCACGTTTTATTCGATTTTTTGTGACAGACAGTTTTATTTTGTAGTATTGGACATGTAACGTCAATGGCATATTTTAAGGTACTTAGAAATTTATCAAATATTTCATTTATATTTGTAAGAGTGTCATCTTGAATTTCTGTAAAATTTGTATGTTTCAGGAATTCATGTAAATCGCGTATATTGCTATCGCTGAATCTATTGTATTTTTTAGTAAAAGCCTTGGTGTTGCATTCTGTATTAATATTAATATAGAATGAATGCAACAAACATAGGTGATCCGCAATATTTTCATCAATAACTTCAGTTTTATACTCTATATTTAGATTCGAGCAGGCATAATCTATTTTAGAAGGATTTGACGAGATTCTAGTTGGGCTTATTGAAGTACATTTAAGGTTAAAGTTGTTTAGGATATCTATAAATAGTTTTTTTGTCAGATCATCTCTAAAATAGTTTATGTTGACATCGCCAGTAAAAATGATGTTAGTAGATAATTTATAACAATACATTAAAATACTGGAGAACTTATCTAGGAATCCCCTTACATCAGCTTGTGGAGAACGATATACACTTATTACACAGAAACTGAACGATTGCATTTTGACCAAAACTGCACAACACTCAATTTCTTTTTCTACACACATTTTTTTTATGTTTATTTCTTGAGTTGTAATGGTTGGGTCATCTCTTCTGAAAATGGCGGTTCCTCCATGGCTATGCAGTTCTCTGGAGAAAAACGAGCTTAGTTGGTATCCATCAATTCCATATAGTTCGATTTTTTCTTTTGAGCACCAATGTTCAACGATGCAAAGGATATTTGGTTTATATTTGTTTAAGAATATTTCCATTTTTTCTTTTTTATTATACAGGGATTGTACGTTTAAATGAGCAATTGTTATTTCTATTTTTTTAGAGGTATGTTTGTTATTGTTTGCTGTTTTTATATTTCCAAAATCCGTTGGGCTCTGTCCGAAAAATATATTCAGAGACTTCTATTCCTCTTGGCCAAAAGTTTGGGTTTAGTAAATTTTCTTTGAGTTCAATGTCCACTGCAACTCTGAAAGAGCTGTATATTCCCCAGTTTTTCACTTGTTTGCATATAAATGAATTGCTTGGGAATTTTCCCTGGAGAAATTTATTTAATTCATCTATAGTGTACGTCGTTTTGTATTTAGAAACGTAGAGCCATAATTTTTCACTAGCTGCTACATTTTCACTTGTATTTGAGCCTATTATTTTTGAATTAGCACTGGAACTTTTTTGATCGTCTTTCGTTAAATTTATTAATTCATTCATTTTATTATTCGTTTGAGTTTGTAAGATGGCTGTGGTCACTTGTGCACTTGTTATTGGATTTTCGCGACTGGAGGTCAGTTTTGTTGTATTAGCGTTGCTTGTTTTGTTTACGTTTTTTGTTTTTGTTTTTTTCTCGGAATTGTTTACTGCTTTCGTGGTGTCGTTGTATTTGGTTTTATTTTTATTTGGATATTCGTTCATAGATGGAGGATGCGTACATAAATGATTTTGATTTACACCTGGATTTTGAAGGTTAACTAACACATTCAGCATTTTAATTTGTTCATTTAAAGCAATAATGTTATCCTTAAGATAGTTTATTGCGTTGTCTTTTTCAGTTAATAACTTTTTTAGGTATTCCACTTCCATATTATTTTCGATTACCGTCGTTATGCTATCCGATGAGGAATCAAGGTCGGCCATATTAACTTTGGTTTTCTCGTCTAAACTTTCACAGCACAGTATAGTGTTTTCGTCAATTTCTTTAATGTTCTTTAAATATTTTATGCATCCAGGATGCATAACACTTTTGCACTTCACACATTTTAGCCCCGTTACCGGTACTAAATTACACTTTTTACATTTTGTATTCGGAGCTTGTGATTGTTCATGTGCACTGGGAGCCATCTTACGTTTAAGCCAAGTTAAAATACTTTTGGTAGTCGAAAAATGGAAACCATGCTGTAAAAGCAAACCTTTTTTCACACCTGTCTGTTAACTTGAAAGTTCCTCTAGCTTAAAAATGAACCACGCGTTTTAATTTCCCAACTGTCAAAATTTTTAGAAATATTAAGGGCCCCCACCAAATGTCGGCCCCAGGGCCTCAAAACTCTTAATCCGGCCCTGATTACGGGCCATCACAAACATGTAAAATTGGTAAAAAAAATTAATTGTTTTATATTTTAGAATTTTATTTTGTATTTTTACGATTAGAAATATTAAGAAACAAGGGCAAAATGCTTTGGAAATATAAAGCGGTGGCGGTTAACAGCTTTTTTTTAAATTTAATGTATTTTATTTACCTAATAAAATATATTAAATCAGAAACCAGCGTACGCGTTTCTAAAAACACTAATCCACAATTTACTTTTTGTGTAAAATGTTTTTTATAAGAGGCCATCCATAAAGTACGTCGAAATGAAGAGTGTTAAGGTTCAAGGACGACGTGTGAGATTATTTTTGACAACAAATTTGTATTTGGCACGTTGAAAAACATAACTATTGATATGCCTCAACCCTAGAACAAAAAAAAACAATGTTTTTCAGTTTTTTGAGGTTGGGTTGAAACTCAGACGTGCAGGGCAAATTTTGACATCGGATCCGCGTCAAAATTCATAAAAAAATCTTTGTCACATACCCAGATCCGAGTACTTTTGTTTTTTCGTGTGGCTGTGTATTTAATTTATTAGTTAGTAATAAATAATCAATAAGTAGTAACATAATAAAAGTTATCCGTATAAACTAAACTTAAAACTTAGAAATAGGCCACTTACACTTACCTTGCGGTCAAAGCGTTGGTGACCTAGGAAATTAAAAAAAAACGTGTGACGTGTAACCTTGGGGGTATGGCCTTGTGGCAGCGGGAAAATATCAAAAAAAATGTATGACGTAATTTATGGACGACCCCTAACCACTCACTAACTAATGCATTATTTTGGCCAAATCAATTTAAAATGACCCTTTGAATTTGATATCTTGTTTTTCTTTCGAATTATGTTAATGTTTATAAATTATTTATAAACATATAATAAAATAAATATTAGATATTTCAATGTATAAAATCATGTGTCGATTGATCTACAGTACTTACTTACATATAGAGTAAAGTAAAGTAAAGCTTGATTTCCTCGGTTCAGCTCACAAATGTTAGAACAAGTTACCTTCTCCCAAACAATTTAAAAATGTTTTTATACGAAATCGGCAGTAAAGTACCTAGTCAACAATCGGCAGTAAAGTAAAAGAAATAAGATGTGTCTAGTAGACACTGTCTACTGCTCTCAGCAGCAACTAAATAATATTTTAAAAAAGCACCGCCGCGGATGTCATAAAATGTTGTTTAAGAAAAATAATAATTTAATTTTATTAATTAGATTAAAAAATGGCCGCGGCCGGCAAATATATAATAACCGTGGCAACAAACAGTATACTTAGACACTTCCTACATTCAAATGACATTTGATTTATTCATCAATATTAATTACACTGTAGGTAAATTTTCAACTTTTGAAATATCACAGCTAAACGCTCGGGCATAATTTTTAGTCGTAGATTCTAAATCTGTGCTCGGTTTAGCTGTATCTGCAGACCATGGTCTAAAAAAGTTTTCCTGTCGGAAATCAGATCCGGGGACACACTTATTATAATTTGTAAAATAATATATTTCACCTCTTGTGTCAAAATTCTTATGCTTTTTATTTTAATTAATATAAAATCCTCAATTATACTCAATAAAAAAAATAGCAAAAAAACATTTTGAATTTCATAACAAAAACAACCAGGGACACATGTTTCTTTTGATCAATTAACTTCAAATTTTGCAACAATTCGTGTTTTTTTTTGGAACTGCTGTGTGGGTCCAGCCAAATTGATTTTTTAAATGTATACAGGGTGTTTAAATTTATACAGGGTGTTTCTAATATCTTTGAATTTTGACCTGATACAGCTAAACCAAGCATTGATTTGTAATCTACGACAAAAAATTAAGTTTACGTGTCCGAGCGTTTAGCTGTGATATTTTCACCTCCCTACAGTGTTATTAGTAGGGATGGGATTTTAGTTATTTTACCTTTTTTCAACCGATGTAACTATTTGAAAACCAATAATGCCAAAATGTGTTTTAAAAGATTTTCTTTTATATGAACCTAACTTGTTTTCACCTTTTTTACCTTTTTTGGAGGTTTTTGCTTTAAACTACCTTTTTTATACTTTTCTTACCTATTTTTTTAAATAATTTTTACCTTTTTTACCTTTTTTGGAGGTTTTTGCTTTAAACTACCTTTTTATACTTTTGTTACATATTTTTTAATTTGTCAGTTTATTTTCACATATTTGTTGTCCATTTTTAAGTATTTTTACTTATTTTATTTTTTTGTGTTCTTTTTAAATTTTCCGCCAATATTTTATCCAGGGCGTGCAACTCAACGGTATAGAATTTTTTCTTATGGTCACAGCATAGAAATTATTCTATTATTCTAAATTATTTCTATGGGTCACAGACTGTAACAGTAACTTTCTTTACAGTATTTCTTTGTATTGAGCTTATGTTCTGTCATAGAATTTCTGTGTAGTGAGTGTCACTCAGTGAAACACAGTTTATTGCATAGAAATAGTTTATTGTGGGTATGTTCTGTGTTTGGGTATGCGGCTAAACAAAATTATAAAAGAAACCTGAAACTTTGAACTTTTTTTACCTAAAATGCTGTTTTTTTAACCTAAAATGCTTTTTTTAGTACCTTTTTAGTTACCTATTTTTCAGTTTTTAGTACCTAAATATCCCATCCCTAGTTATTAGTATTATTAAATGTGATTTCGGATAAAATTTAATATGCACCTCGGCATTAAAGTCATTTTTTATCACTCACGTGGTTATTAGCCTCGGCTTTCGCCTCGGCAAATATTTTCCACACTCATGATAAAAAATACGACTTTATAAAGTATACTGCCTTGATACATAAATAACTATTTCCTCAAAATGTATGTTTTCTACATATATTCTATAGCTGTATCAAGACAAAGTTTTTAATTTAAATAGTTTCAAATTTTTACTTAATATTTTAACACACTGAAAAAGGTACCAATTATCGATTAACTCCTTTTTTGTTTATACTTGCATTGTAGTTATTTAAAATTTTTCCGTGCACTTTTGTATCTAGATGATTCACATTATTTAAAATCATTTTCCCAATGCTTTCTTAAAACAAAAGGTTATACATCAAAAACAACCTATTTTTAATATTTTATGACTGGAGTATTCGTTTAAAATATACGCCAATATAAAAAGTCCTATCAGCTTCTAAATTTGTATGGTCCCTGATAAATTTTATAAACTTTGAAAATCTGTTTTGTTTGTATTAAAATATTGCCACATTCTTAGTCTCTAAAAATAACTGATGTTAAATAGATATGGAGCCTGTCCCTAAAATATAAACAGTAAAAGGTAAAAGCTATTCTTCAAAACAATAAAACAATAACATTTGATGTTTTCATTCGGAGCTCCGGTGGTAGTAGGGTGTGTTCGTCTCCATGACTGTGTCCCCTTAGGGAATTCCAACCCTGTGCTCGATCGGCTCAGATAACAACACTCTTGTAGTGCCTTTGTTTTCTGAAAAGACTTACAGAGAACATTACGGCCTTTTCCCCAAACTTTCGCTAATTGCTTTCGTGTTCCCAAGTAATTTAAAACGATGTCCTGTTTTTCTTTCTGAGAGTTCGTTATCGGAAAGAATGAAATAATTTACAAATTTAATTTTATTCAAAATTAAAATCTCTATATCTCTTTCTAAAGTATAACATATCCTTGTTCTTAAAATAACTACACGGGTCGGTCTTGTTTCCTTTTAAGGATTTACTGTGATATCGATCGACAATGTTACACCTCGCGTTTGCCCCACGCTACGTAGCCAATTTAAGGCGAGCTTTATCCCTTACAAATCCCTTTTTACCACCCCAGGTTGCCACAAAGACTTTTTCCTTTCGGAAAACGAGGAAAAAATATATCGAATTCCTTCGGTGCGGTTCACTAAATGAACCAGGCTCTAGAGTTTCTTTTATTACTGAAGTAATTATAGCAGACACCGCTGTACAAAAAGTAACTTAATTTATTTGACGACTTTCCTCATCCAATGTTTTCATCATTTGCAATTTTATAGGTTTTTTGTAGGAAGTAAACATACTTAATTGCCAATAACATTAAATAAACGATATAACTCTGGTATTAGGTGATTTATCAAGCAGTGATCCAATATTAATATTAGTTCAGAAAATAGGTATTTACGTGCCAGCACCAGCTGTTCCCGTGGGAGGCGTGAGTCAAGCACGGGAATCGTGTAAGCAAGGTAAAAGCATACGCACGTATAATAAACGATATTTTTATTATACTTCTTTAGAAACAAATTAGAAATTAATACAATCAAATTTTATTATGTATATTAATTTAAAAATATAATAATGTAAAAAAATATACTCTATAGAGTCAATCCAAATGATAATACCAAAAATAAATTTAAAAGTTGGGTGCGTGATTTTTTATTTTAATAACCGTTGCCGTTTTAATTCTTAGTTGCTTTACTAAAACACCATTTAGGAACCTGAAATCGTGTTGTTTTCTTAGGCCCAGTTGTATAAAAGTCCGATTAACAACAGATTAATAAATTACGTATTAATCAATAATTGCTGGTTAAAGAAAATTTTGTTGTGTAACACTCGGCTATGTTTTAATTAGTTAATTTTCAAATTTAGGGGAATTCACTAAAAAATCCCCCAATTTTCGTATTTGTCATGTCATAATTTTCGTAATTGTCAAATTTACCATATCCTCCTCAAATTCATATTAATAATTTTTGTTGTTTAGGAAGATTTTAGTAAGTATATTGGTATTTTTTTATTTATTGCATACATTAATGTACAAT